GGCGGGGGGTGGTGGCTGTGGTGGGCAAGAAGCATTGTGTGAGCCCTGTGGTGGGGCCAGAGGGCCAGGGTGAGGGCTCAGGGGTCTCCTTACCCGCAGTAGCTGGGTGGCACCATGCCGTAGACGTGGACGGCGTCGCACAGCTCCACCGCGATCACCATGGTGAACCAGCCGGTGCTGAGCCACGAGCGCGACTTCTCCCTGCAGAGGGAAAAAATGGGGTTGGGAAGGATGACAAGGGTAAGGTGATGTGGATAACGGACACCACCAGTGTCCCCAGCCTGCCCTGGGGACTCCCATCTCAGCGCTGCAGCCCATGAAGCAGCTCCAAGAGCCAGCTCTCCTTTGAGGACCTGGAGAAAGGGGGACACGGCATGGGAGGTGACTCCAAGATACCTGTCCTTTCCTGTCTCCCCCCGAAACAGGTCATCAAACTGCTTCATGCGGCTGGGGGACACGACATAGGCCGTCATGTTGGGGAAGGAGGCACAGACGCGCTGGATGATCTTCAGGAGGCTCTTCTGCATCTTGACAGGCGGCCCCCAGAAGATGAAGATGTTCTCCGGTGTCTTGTTGACAAACTCCTGGGGCCGCTTGAGGACACGGTAGAGGCTGGAGTGGGCCACCACGCGGAAGCTGGTCTTGTTGCCCACGTCAGCCTCATAGCCCGTGGTGGGAGCGTCGTTCATGCGGATGGTGCACTCGGCCCCGTCGATGGCTGTGCCCAGGTGGGTGCCCAGGAGGTGGCTGGAGCTGGTGACAATGACGCACTGGTGGCAGTGGGCAGTCAGGGTCTGGTGAGGACAAGTGCCGTGAGCAGGTGACTTTTGGTGTCACCATGGACAGGGCATGGACTGTCCCCTGCAGAGCCACCGTCCTGCTGGAGGGGACAATTTGGCTGGATGCCAGCAGAGGGACAGACCCTGTGCCCACCACCGAGCCCAGGCCCTGCCACCCAGGTCGTACCTTGTTCCCACAGACAGGCAGGTACCCGCTTTTCACCCCCCACTTCTTGAGGTCGGGGGGCCGGCGGGCTCTGCCCCGCAGGCGGCTGTAGGGGAAGACCTCGCTCCCGTTGCTAGAGCTGTAGATGATCAGCAACATAATCAGGGCAAAGAGGACCCCCAGGGCGGCGGCGCGCTGGCTCTGCGGGCAGGGGGAGAGCGTCAGCTGCTGCCCCCACCCACCCCACGGGTGTCAGCACCCACCCCGCTCCCACGGCACCTCCAGCAGGACACTTTGTGTCCCCAGGGAGGTCCCAGGGGTGGTTCCCTGGCACTCACCGCGTTGCCACTCATGTCTTTGTGCTGGTCTCAGCGCACGGTGGTCGCTGGCGTCCCGTGAGCACCTGAAAGGCACGTGGTCACCCCCAGCACCGGCCCATGGGGATACGATACCGATCCGGTGGGGATATGGAAGGAGCTGTATGTGGAATGAGTTCCCAGGTCTCCTCCCTCTGAAGGGGAAGATAAACCCCTGCAATCGATTCAGGGAAGTGAAATACTGTGGGCATAGGTCAGGCAGGCTCTGGGGTGCAGAGAAGCCACGGCTTCTGCTGGCAGGATCCCTGTCTTGGGCTGGGCTCCAGGTCCAGGGAGGATTATCCTCTGCTGGTGGGGCTGAAACCGCTCAAACCACAGGGAGGGTCAACGTGCTGCTCGTGCAGTGAAATCCCATTAAAACAACAGCCGTGGAGGCTTGGATCAGGAGGGCACAGACGGAAGTGAGACCTGCCCAACTCAGTGCATGCACAGGCTCGAATCCAGAGCTGCCCAGGGCCGAAGTGTGTGGGGTGAACCCCAGAGCACCTCAGGGACCCTCTCTAATCTCCACTCGAAATGGTCTGACCCAGTTTACTTTTGTGAGCCCTGGGCAGTAAGTCCCAGCCGCTCCTGGAGCGCTTGGAGCCAAGTGGAAATTAAAAAACCCTGAAGCCTCTTTACTAATTGCACTGGAACGAAAATTATGCAACAGCCTGGGATCAACGCCTCGGGGGAGCTGAGACCTCGAAGGACTCTCAGGGCCCGTACCAGTGCCCGGGAAGGTGCCAGCCTGCCCGGTGAGCCCAGGCCATGTGAT